ATCAGGATAGATAAATGGGGGAAGAGGGGACATCGGCATCTCGACGTGGTCAGGATTGTCAGCTGGGAGGGGCATGACATAAAGGTTCAGTAGGTGATCAGCTGGTGCAAAAATGCTTCTCGGAGTGGGTACAGTGGTGGCAGAACATCGGAGAAGATGAGATTGTGGTCATGAAAACATTTATTGACATAGCGAGTGCGAAGCTGTTGAAGGTGTAATAGAATGTGAGGAACGTTGATACTGTGATAAAGGTCAGAAGTGGGACTAGGGAGTTTGATGCCAAAGGCGAGCCGGAGGGCATGGCGCTCCAAAACCTGGAGACGAGAGTAGAAGGTCAGAGAAGCAGATATCCAGGCTGTATGTCCATAGGTTAATCAGGGTCTGATAAATGTCTTGTATGTGTATAGCATAAGAGGAGGATTCAGGACCCAGAAGGTACTGGTGAGAGAACGGAGGAGATGAAGACGTCGAGTAACCTTAGCAGAAAGGGCAGATAGGTATGGCTTCCAAGTAAGATGCCTATCAAAGACAATGCCTAGATAGGTCACGGAGTCAGAAAGGAGGATCGGGACATTGTCAACCCCGACATAAAATAGAAATGGGTCCTGCTGGCGGCTATCCCTCAATGTTCCTAAGACACGAGCTATTCTTTTTGGTCCAACTCGTCATAAGTTTCGCCCTTGCCGTTCCCAATGAAAGAATAGACCATTCCAAGCTTTTACTTGTTGTTAAACAAATGTTTAAACAACTCTATTCAACTATGTACCAGCTGCCCAGTGTGGCTAACAATATGAATAATTATAATGTGGCGGAATGCTACAAGTTCTTCAAATACCTATTGTTTGTTTGTTTTGAATTTCGCGCAAAGCTACACAAGGGCTATCTGCGCTAGCCATCTCTAATTTAGCAGTGTAAGACTAGAGGGTAGGCAGCTAGTCATCACCACCCACCGCCAACTCTTGGGCTACTCTTTTACCAACGAATATACGGATTGACCGTCACATTATAACGCCCCCACGGCTGAAAGGGCAAGCATGATTATTGTAACGGGGATTCGAACCCGCGACCCTCAGATTGCGAGTCGAGCGCCCTAACCACCTGGCCATGCCGGGACCTTCAAATACATATAGAATGGTAGGTTTCTTTTTTGTGAGTGTAAAAACACTTAAATACACCAGTTCGATTTTCGATACCTCACTACTACAGAGGTTTAGTTTGGTTTAATGTTTCGACCCCTCCAGACAATTCTGATGCTATGTCTCCTACCACAGAGTATATAATCCCTTTCATCACATTAATACTACAGAATGTGCTCCCTTTCCAACGTACGTTCGTTCTAGATCATATTATCAGTGCTGCTAAGACTGCCTTCACATGCAGACCACTTATTCTGGACTTAGCTCTCACTTTCTATTTCGTCGTCTATGGGATCCGGCAGAGATTACAAGTTGAAGTTTTTATTTGTCACTATTCAGACAGCGGCTCCTATGATTGTATTATCCTTAATGAAACCTTTCTGAAACCCACTCAAAGGATCCATCTGTCAGGGTACACTCTTCATCGCCATGATCATCCTATGGGTCGGACCCGAGGAGGTGTGGCAATCGCTACAAGTACTCGCCTTCCTGTGCACCTACATTCCCTTCCACAGCCCACTTACCCTGAGCATTTGGTAGCCATTGTTTACTTCCCATCTCGTATCATCACTATTGCAACTATCTACATTCGTCCTGGAGTTCCCTTGCCCAATGTCTTTCTCTCCTTTCTGGACCACTCTTTTTGCAGCTATGTTTTTCTTGCTGGTGTCAACTACCACAGTAGGACCTCTGCCGAACTTGTCTGTTTTCAGTCCTCCTTATGTCTCCTGTCTGGTTCTTTGCTACCCCTGCCTGTCGTCCAATATCTCGCTCGTCACCTAATATTGTATTTGTTTCTTCCAACCTGGTTCCTTTTATC